TCTTACAAATAATTTTAAAGTATTTCATTTTTCCAAAAATTTATATAGTTAAAAATTTATGTGATAAAACAAATGATGATATAAATAAACAAATAAAAGTGATTTGCTTTCAAATGGAATTAAAATGTGCCAATAAGTTGCATATAGTAATGCTTTCTAATATGAAAAAAAAAGTTCAAATAGCTTTGTTAAACTGTATGTAAAATAAACTATTTAAGTACATTTAGAAACGCATTAAGTACATCTAAAATAGCAGTATTACATAAAATAAAAGCAAGTATATAAAAATTTTTTTTGATAAAAAAAGTTTAATTTTGATTAAAAGTTACAAAAATGCAAAAATAAAAATTCATTTTGCTTAAGAAAAAACAATCATACTAATTTAATTGAAACTTAATAACAAAACTTAGAAACAAATTTATATTAAGTTTGTGATGAGTCATTAAAATATGTAACTGCTTAGGTTAGGTCTACTAAATAATAAACTAATAAAACTGTTAGTTGCATAGTTAAGTTAAACTATATTCCGATTTTTTTTATAATATATTTAAAATATATATCTGTTATGCCCTTAAAAGATAAACGGTAAAAGGTTTGTGTGGGATTCCTGCATAATCTCTGGGACCAGCACACTCATTGAGGTGTGAAATGTTAGATTTGCTTTTAATAAAGGTATTTTTAAAGATTTTTTAAAAGTCTTTAGAATCTGAGATAAAATATGAGGTTTAACTGAGTCAGACAGCACTTTTTTGCATTGATTTCTTGCAACAAAAAGTTGACTTTCGTTCTCAAGAGAATGGTTCTTTGTGAAACACTTTAAAGAAATTATTATGATTAGAAATAGCTTCACAAGGAGAAAAAAACCTTGGGCTAGAGCAAGGCTTGGGCTTGGAGTGAGACTTGGACTTGAGTGAGGCTTGACTTGAAACTAATCAGAAGGAATAAATCTGCCACATAAAAGAATAGCTATAGGGTTTAAGGCGATTGCTTTAATATCGATATCTTGCAACTGTAGTAATGCATCTCTTAAGCATGCAAACAAGTAATTTTGATTGCAAAAAAATAAAAAGCGGAATCATTTAACAGATACAAAGCTGTTACTATAAGCTTACAGTTTGGAAAATGAGAACAGATTGACTTGATGTAACTCTAAAAAAAAATTGTCTTCAAAAACGGTCCACTAAAATAAAAAAAGATAACACTGTAAAAAGTAACTCGTTTGTGTGTGATGAAACGAGGATCATGATATTCAAAATCTTACAACTGTATATGTGGGACCCCTGCCCTTTGATATATTAAACTGCGCATGTATTTAAGACAGCGAATACATGCACAATATTTTTTCTAGTATTTTTTGATACTTATCAAAATGACTTTGTTTTTGAGAATGAAAAAATTGAGAACTTCTCTGTATGTTAAAAATTATGAACCCCCTCAAAAGGGGTATGATTGTAAAAAAATATTTTATATGATGCTTGTTCTCACGTTAAGAGCAGAAGGGTGCAAAGCATTTAGAGATTACCTTGTATCGCAATTTTTAGTAAATCATCCTTATTTGACATTAACAAGAAAATTAAAATGTATGGAGTTTGCTCCATGTCTGCTTTCAAATAATATTTCAAGTTTGCTTTTAAATAATAAAAAAAAATCTTCACATATCTGGATCCAGTTTTTTGACCAATTTAATGTTTAAACTTTAAATTGGTTATATATCCCCGCTCATTTTTATTTTATATTATATCCCCGCTCATTTTTAAGCAAACAAAAAAAAAAAAAAAACCTTAAATTGGTTAAGAGTTATTTTTATTTTTTTATATAGCTTTCGTAATTATGCTTTATAACAAAAGCTTATGCTTTTTATAACAAAAGAAGTTTCCAATTTTCTATGAAGAAAATATACGTTAGTGTCATTTTGGTATTATTTATAATAATACTTTACATTAGGTTATTATATTTAACTAAAATTAATTTAAAGCAAGAAATTTTGATGTTTTTTGGACTAAATATAATCATTAAGTATACAGAACCAAAAATGTTCTTTAAAGCACTTATTCTAACCCTTAAAATCAGAAGGCTTTTTTTAAAGAGTTTCAGAAATTTGTGAAATGCCACTCTTACCCTAAAAATCAGTAACTAAGAAGCCCGTTTTTTCTCTAGCAGAAAAATTTCAGAAGCGGTTTTATTTATTTAATCTTCTTCAATATTAAACCTTTGAATTGTTTGATGTTTGTTTTTTTTTTCTGTAGGCGAAAAGTTTTCAAAAAAAAGAAACAACTTCTGATGTTGTGGTGCTCGACTGACGATTCTTATAAAAATTATGTTAAACAACAGTAAGCAGTGCGAAAAATGTTTCAACGGAAGAGTATACGATAAATTTATTCGTCTTCCTCCACAAATGTTTTCGTGGCTTTTATAAAAAAGATTTTGAAACCATCTCTAGTGTGTAGATAAACCACTAAGTTAGTGGTAATTTATTATATCATCTCTTATGTTTTATAAATGTGTTTTTTTTTATTTCCGTGAGTTTGCTATTTTGTATTCTGTCCAAATTGAGAAGGTTTGATGTTGTGCTGCATCTAAATTTTAGAAAATTAGACACATCGAGGAAACAACTTAAGTGCGTATTTTTTAAATGCAAATTAAATACTTTCCGTGTTTCGCAAGCGTTTTGCCATTTTATTTAAAATGAAAAAATCTAGATTTTTTCAAAAAGTTTTTTTTTTTTTTTTTTTTTTTTTTTTTTTTTTTTTTCTTCTCTTAGAAATTACGTTTTTTGCGTACTTTATTTATCAGTTTTGGTATTTTGGGAGCAGCAAGCAGTATATAATGAATATACAGTACGTACTGCAAGCAGTATATACTGTACATACTGAAGCCTCCGTCTTCGGTATGTGCATATATACACACAATTGCGTAGTTATATACCACAATAACCCAAATGTAGGATATCTTTCTATCTTATTTTTGTATATCACTTTGTCTACACATCGCAACGTTAGAATTATCTTGTTCTATCTCCATTTTTTTTAAAAATTGAGTTATTGATAGGGTTATGTACTTTAGAATAATGTTTTTCTATTGTATTGAAACCTAAGTTATAAGTAAAACAGTTGCGGAGAAAACGTAAGTTAAAAAGTTGTTTTTATATGCCGTCTCCTTAAGTTTTTATTTTTTAAATCGTTTTATCTCAAAACTCACAAATGTGGAGATATTACAAGATAATTCTAACGTCGCGACATGCTTATATATGGTAATATAATCAAAAATCCAGATTATTTACTGGTATAGGTTACAATCAGTAACCTTTGGCGTTGTGGACAAGAAATCTTACCAATACCTCTTTTCGTCAAACTAAGTGTTCTTAGAACACATAGTTTGATGAAAAGAGGTATTGGTAAGATTTCTTGTCCACAATGCCAAAGGCTACTGATTGTATTAGTGCACACATTGAGTTTTTCAACATTATTTTAAAGTAAGCCTTTTTTTAGTTTGCTCATTGTAAATCACTCTACGTTGCTCGTTTGTCCACGCGTATCTCTTTTATTTATTTTAAAATATTGAAAACACATTTGAAATCTTTTTAAGCCAAAATGTTGTCTGTTTCTACGTTTATTGTTATTGCAGTAAATGCAGAAAGCAAATTAAACTCGTGACTATTTGTTACAGATTTAAAAACTCTAAAGTCATCTATTAAGCATGAAGTATTTAAACTAAATAGTTTTAACCACTATTAAGTAATTTAATAAAAAAATAAGAAATTTTCAAAAGCTTATATTTAAAAAAAGCTTTAATTTTTTTCAATGTACTAAAAATGTTAAATGTTATTAAATTTTTAAGTTTATGTTTAAGGGGCTACCCCCCTCTGTTTTTAAATCTAAGTATTAAAAAAAAAAAAATGTTATGGGTTTCTAGGTTTTAGTAAAATATAAACCTTTTTAAAAAAAAAAATTTTAAAAAATTGGTGGTTTCCTTGGTAACCAAAAAATACCCCTAAAATGACCAAAAAATAACTTCACGCTGGCCAAAATATAAGAATATATGTACATATTTACCTTTTAAAATTTTAATACAATATTATCATAAAGTAGGGCTGTGAAATGAATGGATCAGATTTTTCATAACATTTTGCCATCATCAAAATGGCGCAATCAAAGATCATGTTCAAAATTTTCATCGATTTTAGGTCATATATATATATTTTTAATAAAATAAATAAATTCCAATCCATTCATTTCACAGAGTATAATATGATAAACACTTCCTGAAAATTTCATACAAAAATGTAATACGGTTCTCCAGATAATTTGGCCGGCATGCACAAATTTCTATTTTGAGAAAAAGACAATTTAAGTTAAAATTTTTGAAAACAATACAATTTTTTTCACAAAAACTGTTGAACAATAAAAGTTTTCAAAATCCACCAGGAACATACAAGTCACCTTCTTTTTCAATTATTTTCTCATTCTTCTTCAGTTTCTTGGCACATAATACTTGCCTTCTTAACTTTTTAACAGGGTTCTTTCTAATTTCTGCTTTTTGTAATCTTTCATTATTTATTGATTTGCATCCTGCAATCATATGAAAGCCTGGTTCCATGTCCAGTTGCTTCAAAATATCAATAGATGCTTTTGCTCCAATATTAAAATTGGCAACAGCATCATATACACCAATTGTTAATTGGGTAAGTGATACAAATGTTTGTTTTGGTATACGCTTCCAAATCATTCCATAAAAAGACTCATTGGCATTTTGTGTCTTACCGTGCAAACATTTTTGTAACTCAATGTCTTTCCTTAAATCCTTAAATATAGTTCTTACTTTCATTATGACATCCATTGGTAAAGCCGGTTCCGGCTTATAGGTTGATGTCTTATTAATTTTATTGGCATTGTATTTGCACCAGCTGTCTGCACCAGTGAGGCAGTGTGGGAAATGTAAGCTATTATTTTTTGAGGAAGCAACATGAAATAAAGATGCCAACACCAGTTGGATCAGATTTTTGAAGACTTTGAGTTAAATTACAACCTTTACAATATCTGGACATGATTTCAACATTTAAAATTTTGCCACTAGCAGTAGAGATGGCAGAAAAGACTCTGTTGAGTGATGAGTATCCTCGTTTGTGCCATGTTTCATCGCAAGATAAATAAATATCGGTTACTTTCAAAGCTGTATTTTGCAATTTTTTAGCAGCATTTAACATTGTTCGTTCTGCTACATTTTTAACAGCTTTTGAAATTACTTTTATCAGTTTTTCAAAATTGTTTTTGGTCATTGGCTTAGGTAGATTCATAATGGCACAAAATTTTTTGATGCCTGCATATCCATGACCCAATAATCGCATACAATAAATTACTTGTTTATTGATATCAAATCCTTTTATATTTGTCATAGTTAGAAGTGTAGAACTTTTGAAAATGGTTACAAGCTCTTTTCATACACTTAAGATATAGTAAGGAAGATAAACCACGTCGTTGAGTATATCTCTCACTTAGTGAGATTGTTGAACAACCACACTCTGGACACAAAACAGAACTTAAAATAGACATTAAAACAGCAACATAAATTATACGATAACCAGATATGGCAGGTTTTGAAATAATTTTATCTTTTAAATTTTCGATTTTATGAGCTGAAGCTGATAAATTAGGTGGATTTTCAAAAATTGGTTCAGTAACACAAGTGATGTTAGGGGCACTTGGATTTATTGTCGGCAATTCGATATTAGTACTATCAGATACAATAACAGTATTAACAGAATTTTGAACATTTCCCATAAACCTTTTCCTTTTTTTATGAGTTTGTGTACATTTCTTAACTCGACAAGCTTTTCCCATTTTTACTAATTAAACTAACCTAATAAAATCTCAAGAACTGACTGAACTGAAGAATATTGTCGTACTTGATGTACCAAGGTATTGGTAAATTCTAGAAAAACGCATCAAGAAGTTGTTCAAGCTTATGCATTGCAAGTGTAACACTATTTTGGATGAAATTAAGGTAAAAGTATGGTGTATAAAATTGTTTAAGTGCGTTGCTATGGCGTTGCTAAGGAAATTACTTAAGAGGTGGTTAACTTAAATAGACAATTTAAGATAGTTAAAGATTAATCTGATACATCGAAAACAAATTTTATGATTCTGCATAGTTTGAAAGAGTTAAAATTAAAAAAAAAAAAAAATTGAAAATTTTGAAATTTTATGGGGGGATAGCCCCTTAACAAATCGAAGAGTATTTCGGAACAAAATATTTTATAAAAATAACATCCTTTTTAGAAAATAACGATGTGGTGGTAAAAGATAAAATTATTGTCATGAATTGTTCGTAATATTATAAAAAAACATCTAAATTTTATATATAAAATGTTTTTAATTAAAAACATAATTTATTTTCAATAACGTTTCACATTGAATGCAAATCGGAATAGTATTTTGGAACTGAGGGAGTATAATTTAGACTATAAATTGACAAATATGTTTTGACGTGGCATTAAACATTAGGCATTAAAACAAAATATCCAGACGGAATACACAACTTCGATGCTCTATAACTTCAAGTCAAACTATTATAATAGGATTTTTTTTCAGCCAATACATATACTATTAGTAAAAAAATATAAAACAGAAAATTTAAAATTATAAAACTAAAATCAGCTATTCTTTTTTTAGTTAGCACGACACAATACTTTAAAAAGCCAAAAATCCAACTCTACTAACTACTATCAAGAAATTTGTTATAGTATATTTGCATAAATTATGTTTGAAATTAGCACCAAATAAAAGTTTTTTCCTCAATTTCAACTTCTCAAACTGGAATCCTCATGCATGGACTTGATCAATATGATTTTGTTAAATCTCAATATACATATATTTTTAAAAATAAATCAGCTGCGTATATAATTATTCAAACCAACTTTAAATTTAATAATAAATAAAAGAATTATGAGAATCTTCTCACATCAATGAGGATGAAGAAACAGCACTTGAAGTTGACAAGTTTGAACTCTTTCTTGGTAAATTTATTGATGATAGTTCCCCATCTTTTAAATTTTGAATATGTTTATTTCTAAAACTATTGCGAATGTTTTGTTAAAATCAGGGGTGTAGAGTCGTAAAAAAAAAGTAACGACTCCGACTCCAGTTGTTGAAATTTTTTGAGTATAACTCCGACTCCGACTCCAGTTGTTAAAATTTTTTAAGAACAACTCTGACTCCGACTCTAACTCCGACTCCAACTCCAAAGCATAATTTTTGAAAAATTCTTTGAATTCTTTTTAAAATATTACGCGACAAGTTAAAAATTTCTTTTTTGACAAATTAATGGAGTTTTCTTTGAAGTTTATTATGAACATGAGGTGAATTGAATGTTTTGTACATGCACGTACAATACCAAGAAGTTTTACTATTTGAGTCGGAGTCGTGATTTTGTTTAGCGACTCTGACTTAGCTACGCCTATGTTTTGAAAAACTTTATTTTTTTATATTATACCTTAGTTAGACC